CCTCATGCAGCCAAGGGCCACTGGGATCCTGAGTAGCCCAAAAGAACCAAGGGGCCATTTGGACACTCTGCAGCTGTGGAGACCCTGAGAGGCATTCCCTGGGTTAGGGAGACACAAGAAGCTTCCCTCAAAAGCTGTGCGACCGCATTGGCTCCTTCCCCTTGTTCTGTGTCCTTCAGCCCCTCCCTCCCCATTCCCCCATTGGCTCCATCTTTGTACTGCCCCCATGGCACTGATCAACCCCTTCCTCTGGAGATACAGAAACCTGGACTCCCCCCAGGAGTCCTGCCTTGTGACCCTGAACATCTCACCGCACGGCTGAATTAAACATCTGTGGATACCATGCAAAGGCCCTTTTTGCTTCCCTACCCTGGGCTTTATTAGCAGCTATTGCAGCTGCAACAATGGCCCATTATGGCAGCGTGGATCCAAGGACACCATGGTGACACTGTGGGACCTCATGGGTCCAAGGGGCCATTGTGACACTGAAGAACTTCATGGAACCCAGGGTCCATTGTGACACAGCAGGGCCTCAGTGGAACAAAGGAACCATTGCTGACAGTACAGAAACTCATGGAACCAAGAGGCCGTGGTGACACAGCAGGGCCACATGGAACCCAGGAAACCACTGACATTTAGGGACCTCGTGCAACCAGGGTACATTATAACACTGCAAAAACAAAGAGACCATTGTTGATGCTATGGAAGGTCTTGGAACCAAGTAGCCATTGTGACACTCCAGGGCCTCATTGAACCAGGCAGACCATGGTGGCATCACAGAACCTCATGGCACTGAGGGTTTATTGTGGCACAGCAGGGCCCATGGAGCCAATTGTCCATTGTGCAAATGTGGATCTGAGGAGACCATAGTTACAGCATGGAAGCTTAAGGAACCATGGGTCCATTGTGACAAAACAAGGCCTTGTGGAACCAAGGAGACCATTGTGACATCATGGAACCTCGTGGAACCAAGGGTCCATTGTTACAGTCCAGAAGCAAGAGACAATTGTGACATCATGGAACCTCATGGAACCAAGGGTCCATTGTTAGAGTCCAGAACCACGGAGACCATTGTGACAGTACAGAACCTCAAAGGACCAAGATTCCATTGTTATGCAGTGGGGCTTCATGGAACCAAGGAACCACTGTGACACAGTAGGACCACTTAGAACTAATGGTCCATGGACATACTGCGGATCCAAGAAGACCATGGTGATGCTGTGGAACCACATGGAAGCAAGGGGCCATTGTGACACTGGGGAACCTTTTGGAATCAAGGCAACCATGACACACTATGGAACCTCATGGAACAAAGGGGCCGTTGTGGCACTGCGGGGCCTCATTGGAACAAAGGACATGGTTGGTTGGACAGAAGCTCCTGGAAAATATGGGACATAGTGACTCTGCAGAGCCTCATGGAACCAAGGAAACCATGGGGACACTGAGAAACCTTACGGAACTATGCAGCCATTTTGACACTACAGAACCAAGGAGACCATTGTGACATCATGGAACCTCATGGAACCAAAGGTCCATTGTTAGAGTCCAGCACCAAGGAGACCATTGTTGACAGTAGAGAACCTCATAGGACCAAGATTCCATTGCTATGCAGTGGGGATTCATGGAACCAAGGAACCACTGAGACACAGCAGGGCCACATGGAACCAATGGTCCATGGAGATACTGCAGATCCAAGGAGACCATGGTGATACTGTGGAACCTCCTGGAGCCAAGGGGCCATTGTGACAGTGTGGGGCTGCATGGAGCCAAATATTCATGGTGACACAGCAGGGCTGCTTGTGACCAATTGTCCATTGTGACGCTGCAGATCCAAGAGACCAGGGTGACACTCTGGCAGTTGATGGAACCAAGGGGCTGTTGTGAAACACCAAGGCCTTGTGGAACCAAGGAGAGCATTGTGGCAGTGAAGAACCAAGGAGGCCATTTTAACAGTACAGAACCCAATGGAACCAAGGGTCCATTGTTCTACAGCAGGGCCTCATGGAACCAAGAAGCCATTGTGAAGCTGTGGGGCACAATGGAGTCAAGGACACCACTGATACTGAAACCCTCTGGATAGAAACTTCTGAACAGAGTTTTGAGTATTTGAAAGCAGATATTCTTTATTACAGCATGGTGGTCACTTGGGCCATCCTTCCTCCATTGGAGTGCATTAGCATTGAATGATCAGAGTTTTTATCACACACATTCATTCTGTATTGATGAGCTATCCCCACTTCCTTTGAGTTTATTTGACATAGTTGCACCCCTTATCACAAATCCTTTCATGGTTCTTTGTGTTTTGTCTTCAACATCCAGTGCCCTTTTAGGTGGCTGTTCCTTGACCCCTCCTTTTGAGTAACGGCAATATTATTATTTTGAGTAATTTCTGTTTTGTCAGCTTTGCAGAGGTGGGCTGGCATCCTACTTGCATTTTGTGTGACTTCTGTTTGCCAGAGGTACATCCTTAATCAGTTTCTCCAAGGCTGAGCTGTTCTGTTCTACTGTCCTTGACAAGAGTAAATGTTGTTCTGTTCTCCTGTCCTTGTCTCAGTGCTCGCCCTGCATGAGGCGTCTGCAACCCCCTCCAACCTATGGGCCTGGTGTGGGTAAGTGTTCCTGGGGAACAGGGATGGGATAGCTGGGCTCGACTGACCCAAGGGATGTTCCATTCCATGTCACACCATGATCAGTAATCAACTGGGGGGGGGGGGGAGGGCAAGGGGATTAGGAGATTAATTTCTTTTTTCAAAAATTTTTCTTTCAAAACAGCACCTACACGTACAGAATCCTCTCCTGCCAGAATTGGTTAAACATTTTCTGCTGATAGGAGATATCCTGTGAATTTGATTTTTTTTCTATTTGTGGCTTTTTCTTTTTGTGGTTGGTTTGTTTGTGGGGATTTTGTGTTGTTGTGGGTGGGTCTTGCTTTGGTTTTTTTCATTTGGTTTGGGGTTTTTATTTTTTGTTTGGGTTTGGGTTTTTCCCTTTTGAACTGACTTTCTTCTGATGCATACGTTTTTTCTGCCCTTTATTGTGGCTTGCTTGGCACCTGATGGCAAGATAAATTTACCCAACTCAGTCATCTTGCACAATTACATTTTGCAGTCACCATTAACGAGATGAGTTCAGTCACAGACTCCCTGCAATCAGGCAGCATTCATAAAGGAATTGAAAGTACATTTCATGCCATTTTAGAGACGCTAGAAATGTTCCACAGTGGTGGCCAAGGGCTGGTCACTGAGGGATGTCACCAGGGCGTGGCTTCCAAGAGGGCTCTGTACCATGGATGACATTTGACCCTCATTGTTCAGCCAAATTCCCACCCAGCTCATGTTCCACTCCTTCAGCCCAGCTCTCTTCAGTCTGGCTCTGAGGAGACCACAGCAGACCCTGTCCCAGGCCTGGCTGAACTCTGGGCACACAATATCCCCTTCTTTTCCCTCCCACGTGGGTTCTGCAGTCCCTGCCCTGTCCTGCCAGTGCCTGGAATGGCTGCAGGAGGATTTGCCACATCCCCTTCCCTGCTGAGCCTGAGCAGGCTGTGACTCTCCCAGTGCCCCTCCCTGCCTTGTTTGCTGACTGGTTCCATGTCTGCCCTTCCCAAGTGCCCAGGACCCTCTGGGATGGCTCTGGCCTTTCCAAGGGGTTTGAGAGAGGTCCCACAGGGACACTGCCCAGCCTTCTCAACAGCCCTGACACCAAAGGTCTTTTCCACATCCCTCAGTTCCAGCCCAGTGCCCAGAACACAGCACAGCCCTATCCAGGTCCTCAGGCTGCTTCAAAAGGGAAGCAGCTCTGATTTCTCCCCACAGATCCTCACTCTATCCAATGTGTCTCTGTGCAGTCCATGACTGCCCTGAGCATTTTTCCTGGAGCCTCTCTGCCTGGGATATTTCTCTCTATGCTGTCATAACCACAACCCAGCAAAGAATTCAGGTGTTTTCCCAGAGGACGTTACTCTCAGAGTGAAGCGGCCTCAAGGCACTGTTTGTGCCACTGGAATTGTGCCATCCCCGGGTGTTGCTGATGGTGTTTGTGCTCACTGGGGTTCATCTCCCCTCACACACACACGATGTACTGCTGCGATCTCCTCAGCACAGAGCAAACATGGCCTGCTGGCCTGGTCACTTGGTGTCCCTCCGTGCAGGGACAAACAACCTCCTGCAGGTGGGGAGAGGCCAGTGCTGGCAATGGTGGTTGCAGGGGCTGGTGTGGGACAATTGCCCTGGGGCACCTTCCCAGGCTGTCCCAGAACAGAGACACAGCCCAGGCCCTGCTCTGCTGCTGCCTCAGGTCCATGTCAGGAGCTCTGGCTGTGCCAGGACACTGCTGTGAGCCCCCCCTGCACACTCCCACCCTGCCCCAGGCCCTGGGCTTTGCTGTGCCAGGGCATTCCTGGGGCACATTGCTGACAGAGCTCTGGAGGGGAGCAAAGCCTCCCTGCCCTGCCCTCAGGAGATGCCCTTTGCTGCTGGAGCTGCTGTGCTGGAGCCCAGCTGTGTCCCAGCAGTGCCCATGGCCTGGCCCTGCCTTTGGCCACAGCAGGGACACGCAGCAGGACAGTGACCAAGCTGCCAGAGCACTCCGGCCTTACAGCCACAGCAGGGCTGGCAAGGACAGGGTGGAGTTGGGCAGAGCAGCTCTGAAAGGACCAATCCCTGCTGCTCCCTGGCCGTGCTGCTCTGCTGGGACTCTTTTCCCCTTCTTCCCCCTAACTTTACACAGGGCTCTGAGCTGGAATTCCAGATAAAACAGGCACTGCAAGGAAGCTTCTTTTCTTCAAATGTAGCGATAGCCCAATCCCTGGTTTACAGAGCTTGTGGGTCAAATTCAAGAGAAAGACAGTGAATTAGATGGTGATTAAATAACTTCATCAAGTACAACATTATGACTAAAAACCCCACTGACCCCTACCAAAGACCCAGGAAGGCCTGTGGGGCCTGTCATCAGTTCCATTCCAAAAGCTATGCAAAAGAAAACAGGCCATTTTTTGCTTCTCAAAAGCAGCTAGTCATCATTTTCCTCAGGGCATCCTTGAGCTTCTGGTTTCTCAGGCTGTAGATGAGGGGGTTCAGAGCTGGAGGCACCACCGAGTACAGAACTGACAGGGCCAGATCCAGGGATGGGGAGGAGATGGAGGGGGGCTTCAGGTAGGCAAAAAATGAGGTGCTGACGAACAGGGAGATCACGGCGAGGTGGGGGAGGCAGGTGGAAAAGGCTTTGTGCCGTCCCTGCTCAGAGGGGATCCTCAGCACAGCCCTGAAGATCTGCACATAGGAGAGAACCATGAACACAAAACAACCAAATGCTAAGAAGGTAGTGAAAACAGAAACTCCAAGTTCCCTGAGGTAGGATTTGGAGCAGGAGAGCTTGAGGAACTGTGGGATTTCACAGAAGAACTGGCCCAGGGCATTGCCATGGCAGAGGGGCAGGGTAAATGTATTGGCTGTGTGCAGCAGAGCATTGAGAAAGGCACTGGCCCAGGCAGCTGCTGCCATGTGGGCACAAGCTCTGCTGCCCAGGAGGGTCCCTGGGCAGCAGAGCTTGTAGTGCAGGGGTTTGCAGATGGACACGTAGCGGTCGTAGCACATGACGGTCAAGAGAAAATACTCTGCTGAAATGAAGAAGAGAAAGGAAAATAGCTGTGCAGCACATCCGGAGTAGGAAATGGTCCTGGTGTGCCAGAGGGTATTGTGCATGGCTTTGGGGACAGTGGTGCAGATGGAGCCCAGGTCGCTGAGGGCCAGGTTGAGCAGGAAGAAGAACATGGGCGTGTGCAGGTGGTGGCTGCAGGCTATGGCGTTGATGATGAGGCCGTTGCCCAGGAGGGCAGCCAGGGAGATGGCCAGCAGGAGGCAGAAGTGCAGGAGCTGCAGCTGCCGCGTGTCTTCCAATGCCAGCAGGAGGAAGTGCCTGATGGAGCTGCTGTTGGACATTTGGTGCCTTTGGGTACAGGTATTTATAGAGCATTAACACCTGCCTCGGAAGGAAATGGCAGTGCCAGATTGGACATTTCTTCACTCTGGGGATCATGGACTGTTGAAAGAAGACTTGAATAGCTGGACCAAGGCTTTAAGTCTATCCTATGTATTTTAGTTGAAATTCCCTTCAAAATTAATTCTCTTCCTGTGAGGGAACTTTGCTAAACTTTATTTGAGTTCGCGTTTGTGAGCTGAGTTTCTGCCTCATCTTCAGCACTGCTCTCAGCCTGAACACTCTGGAGCCCAGAAGGAAAAGAGGGCTCCCTGTGCCCCAGTGCACGCAGCGCTAGTCGCTAAACAGATGCCCTTTGTTCATTTCACCTCTTTTGATTTAAGCGTGATCACACCTAAAACTTTATTGAAAACAAAGTGGACTTTGTGAATTCTCAATTTTAAAACTAATTTTCTCCAAACCCTTTCCTCTTTCCCTGTGCAGCTGGACAGGATGGGATACCAAGGGTAGGTCTGTCTCTCTGCTGTCTGGAGTTGTGCCTGCTGGGAGCTGTTTCTCTCTATCCAAGCCTTGTCCCTGCCAGTGCTGCCAGAGCCCAGCCCAGCCCTGGGGGCTCAGCTCTTCCCTGCAGACCCCTCCCAGCACAGGGCACTGCCCAGGGGCATCTCCCTGGCAGCAGGGCCTTAAGGGCAGGCCAGACAAACAGAGATGCTGCAAGCCAAGGAGCTGCTGCTGCTGTCTGTAGGGAGAGGAGGATGAGGAGGCACTTTCTGAGGGAGATCTGAGACCCATCTGCTGGTGCCCAGGGTGACAGTGCAGGAGTCTCAGTGACACAGCCAAAGCTGACAGCCCCTTTCCCTTCCCTTTAGGAGAAAGCTGAGAGCAGCCCTGGCCATGCAGCACCATCTCCAGAGCAGGAGGAATCTGCCCTGATGGGGGTGGCTCCTTCCACCTCCAACTTCTCCCCTGCAGCGTCCGTGGGGAGCTGCCAGGCAGGCTGAGAGCTGCCCCTGGAAGTGGCACATGCCCTGGGCTGGCCAAGAGCCCTGAGGGCTGCAGGAGCTGCTCTGCAGGACAGCCCTGGGCAGCCCTGGCTGCAGCCCCAGCATCAGCCCCTGCAGCCATCCCTGGCAGCAGGAGCCGTCCTGCCCTGTCCCTCTGACGGTGCCCGGGGCAGCCCCGCTCTGCAGCACATCCTCATCCTCCTCCTCCTGTGCCACAGAGAACGTGGGAGAGTCCTCCTGACACATCCCCCAGGCTGAGGGGTGTGCTGGCTTCAGGAGATCCCTCCAGGAGCACAGGGGACATTGCCCTGCACCCACACACTCACCATGCACAGGGCTGTGAAGATCTTTCCCCAAGTGATGTCTCAGCTCAATGTCTTCCCAATCCTGATTGCCTTCAGCCTGTCTCTGCCTGGCTCCTGTCCCTCAGTGCCTGCAGGCAGAGCTCTCAGCCCTGCTGGGCTGGGAGAGGAGCTGGCCCTGGCAAGAGCCGTTCCTTTAAAGCTCAGCAGCACAGAAACAGCACAAGGATTTTAATGAGCCTCTTCGGGATTTGGTGTTGTTTACATCAGACTCAGTCCCTGAGAGAGTGTTCAAAAACTTCTCAAGAACTCAAAATTAAATTTAGACGTAGAAGTTCCTTGAAGTTTTAATGGGTCCCACAGATGGACACAACTGAGAGAGTGTCCCCAGGTTCCAGTTAGAGCAGAACACTGGAGGCAGTATTGACAGCTGGGGACAAACAAGGCCAAGGTGTCTCTGGTGCTCAGCAAAGCTGGATGTGTTTGAGGAATGCAAAGGGCCAAGGCCTGAGCCCCAGCCCCTGGCCAGGCCGATGCTGTCCCTCCCTCCTTGCTCAGGGCTCTTGCCGGGATGGGCACTGGCACGTGGGGATGTGCAATGGCAAGGGCAGGAGCATGGGGCGGCCCCTGCCAGGCTGCTGAGCAGGGACAAGGAGGCAATGAGGCCCCAGGCCTGCAAGGGTCACTTGTCTCCTGCTCCTGCCTCAGGCCCAGGCCCAGCAGCCATGGCCAAAGTGCTGCCCAAGTTGGCTCTGGCAGGGCTGTCTTGCAGCTGCTGCACATGCCTGTGCCCTGTGCAGCCCAGGCTGTGCTACGGTGTCCCTGCCCTGCACCTCTGTCCCTGCAGGCTGTCGGCATCCCCCGGCTGCCCCACCTGGCTGGCCCCTTCCTTTGCTGACAGCTCTGCCTCCTGCCTGCCTCTGCCTGCCCACACAAAGCCTAGGGCTGACCCAGACTCCTTCTGGAGGATGTGTTGCACCACAGCTCTGCCCTGTGAGGGAAATTCTTTTGTCCTTGTGTCCAGTCCAGATCTCCCCAGTGGCAATTTACATTAATTTTTTTCTTTTTTTCTCCCTGTTTTCTATTATGTTAAAAGGATCCACCATGTCTGTAACCACCCTTCAGTCCCTCCCAGGGCTCTCCTCTACTGTCCTCAGTCCCCACCCCACTGAGCACAGAGCTCCTCTGTCCCTGTACAGTGCTCATGTGCTTGAGGCCATGGGTGCCTGGACAAGAAGGACGGTTCTTTTCTACAGGAAGGAACCCACAGAGCCCCAGGGGTTTGAAGGAAAATCAGAGCCACTCACCAGATGCCAAGGGCAGCCAGACCTGTCTGTCCTTGCAGCTTTTGTCTGAAAGCAACCCTTGGATATTTGTGTAGTTTTGGAGGTGGAGTTTCATTTCAGCCACATGTGCCTGGACCAGAATGACAGTTCTTCTCCACAGGAAGGAAAGGGCAGAGCCCCAGTGTTTCAAAGGCTGATTAGAGGCAGCTCCAAGGAGGCCAAGGCCAGCCAGACCTGTTTGTCTTGGCAGCTTTTGTCTGGGAGCAGTCCTTGGGTAGATGGAGTTTTGGAGGCCAAATCCCAGTTTTGTCCATGGGCACCTTGATGAGAAGGACAGTTCTTTTGCATAGGAAGGAAAGTACAGAGCTCCAGTGTTTTACAGGCAGATGAGAGCTGACCCTCAGGAAACCAAGGGAACCTAGATAGTCCTGGCAGCTTTTGTCTGGGAGCTATTCTAGGAAATAAGGAATTTTGGAGGCGGATTCCCACTTTTGGCTATGGAGACCTGCACTTGAAAGAATATTTTTCCATGGAAAGAAGAGCTTGGCCCCCCATTGTTTTTAAGGCAGATGAGAGGTGGCCCCCAAGATGTCAAGGCCACCCAGAGCTGTCTATTCTTGCAGGTTTCATACAGGAATCATCCTTCAATAAAACTGAATTTGGATGTAGAATCCCAATTTCAGCCATGAACACCTGGAGGAGAAGAGTTCTTTCCCACAGGAAAGAAAGCACTGAAGTCCAGGGTTTTAGGGGCAGTTTAGGGGCACCCTCAACATGCCAAGGTCAGCTGCACCAGTCAAGCCAAGCCAACCAGAACTTTTCTATGTTCTTTGATCCTTGGGTCCCTGCAGCATTACAGTGGCCCCTTGGTTCCATATGGCCCCATAGTATAGCAAGAGATCTTTGTGTCCCTAAGTCCAGTGATATCACAGTGGCCCTGTTAGGTCCCCATTGGCACAATGGCCCCTTGCTTCCATGAGGCCTTGCAGTGTCAAAATGGTTTCCTTGGTTCCATGGGACTGTGCAGAGTACCACAATGGCCCCTTGGTTCTATTGGGCTCCCCAGGATCACAATGGACCCTTGGTTCCTCAGGACATGGCTGTGGCACACTGGCCCCTTGTTGCCATGGGGACTCAGAGTGCCAGAACGGTCTCATTGTTTCCACGAGTCCCTGCAGTGTCACAAAGAGCTCCTTTGTTCCACAAGGCCCTGCCGAGCCCCTTGACTCAATGAGGCCTCAAAGTGACATAATGGCCTCCAGGATTCTATGAGGCCCCACAGGGCTCAATGAAGCCCTGAAGTACGGAATGGCCTTTTGATTCCATTGGGCTATTCACTGTGACATGAGTTCTTAGTTCCACTGAGCTCTGCAGTGTCACAATGGTCTCCTTGGTTCCCCAGAGTCAGAATGTCCCCGTGGTCTCATGGAGCCCCACTACGATACCCTTGATTCAATGAGGCCCTGCCGTGCTACAATGAGCCCTTGGTTAAACGAGGCCCTGCAGTGTCACAATGGCCCCTTGGTTCCAGTGGGTCCTGAAGTGTCATAATGGTCTCCATGGTTCCATGAGGCTCTAGAATGTCACAATGGACTTTTGACTCCATAAGTTTCCATACTGCAAACAACAGTCTCCTTGGTTCCACAGTGTCCAAAGCGACCCTTGGTTCCATGAGGTGCCTGGCCTCCCACAGCCTCTCAGAGTGCCTTCTCTCCCTCAAGGTCCCCAACAGCCCTTCATGGCCTCTCAGAGCCCGTCATGGCCCCTAAAATCTGCTCATGGCCCCTCCAAGCCCCTCTTGGCCTCTCATGACCCCTCACGATCCTTCACAGTTCACAGCCCCTCATGACCCATAGCATCGCTCTCATCCCCTCCCAGAGGCCCTCATAACCCCTTGTTATAAATTGAACTGACAATTTGCCAAGTAAAATCAATTGAGAATTTATTGATTACAGTGGGTAAAGCAATAAGCAAATCAGCTCTGGGCGACAGGGGAGTCTCCGCTCCGCTGCTGCCGCGCTCTTCTGATTTTTCGTGGAGTTCTTTTACAGTCCTGCTTCCGGGTTGATGTGTAGTATTCTGTGTGTTCTTCTTTTGTGTCTAGGTGGTCACAGTCCACCTCCCAGAGGTTTGAAGATGAAGGTTGGTATTTTTCCTTTGTCTGATTCCTGGAATTTTAAGCTGTGTTCCTGGAATCTTAAGTTTACTGAGCGGATAAGCTAATACTGTGTTATCAATCATAGCAAGCCCACCACCCAACAGTTTACTCAGCAGATAAACAAATGTTTGTGAAACCCATTGTCTTTGGTTTCATCTTCTTAATCCTTTTAAGTCTGGAAATTTATTAGGCAACATTCTTACTGGAACAACTTTGTCAGCTTTGATGAACAAACTTAAAGTTTTAACCCAT